AAGAAATGTTAGAGTTGAGCCAAACCTTTTAAACAAATGGACTTAGTAGATATGTATAGAGTATTCCACCCCACAACAAGAAAATACACACTTTTCTACTGTATATGGACCTTTCCCCAAAATAAACTGCATACTATCCCATAGAACATGCTTAAGTAAATGCAAAGGTACTGAAATTATCCAATGAATATTATCAGTTTCTAGTAAAATAAAATTGGAAATCAATGACAAAAGAAACTAGAAAAGCTTCTCAAACACATGGAAATTAAATAATACCCCCCTGAACAACTAATGGGGCACAGATGAAATTAAAGAAGAAATTAGTTTCTACAATTAAATAATAATGTCAATATAACATACAAATTTTATGGGATGCAATAAAAGCAGTCCTATGAGGGAAATCTATAGCAGTGAATTTCCACATCAGGAAAACAGAGCAAGCTCAAATAAATAATCTAATGTTGAACCTCAAGACTCTAGTAAAAAAGGGGGCAAGTTAAACCCAAAGCACATACAAGGGGGAAATTATAAACATCAGAGGATAATGCAATTGAGACTAAGATTACAAAAAGTTAATGAATTGAAGATGTGGTTCTTTGAAAGATTAAATGAAATAGACAAATCTTTGGCCAATCATATAAAAAGGAAAAGACTCAAATCCATGCAATTAGGAATGAAAAGGGTAAAATCGCAATGGAGCCTAAAGAAATCCAGAATATAATCAACACTTACTTCAAGAACTTGTACTCCAATAGAATGGAAAACTCAGAGATAATGGACATATTCCTTAATATCTATGAATTACCAAAGCTGAATCAAGATGATATAAAAGTTCTAAATAACCTGATGTCAATGAAATTGAAGAAATAATTGGAAAACTACCAACAAAGAAAAGATGTACTGCTGAATTCTACATGAGATCTAGAGAAGATCTAATGCCACTATTCCTCAAATTCTTTAATGAAATTAAAAGGGAAGCGATACTCACAAACTTATCCCTGGAAGCAAGCATTATGCTGATACAAAAACTAGAGAAGGACCCAACTGAAAAAGAGAACTATAGGGTAAGCTCCTTAATAAACATAGATTGAAAAATTTTCAGTAAGATACTGATAAACAGAATGAAGCAAATCATCAAGATGCTTATATAACGTGACCAAATAGGATTCATCCTAAGGACGCATGGCTGGTTCTACATATGCAAATTTAAAAGTGTAATACACCACATTAACAGAACCAAGAACAAAAACCACATGATCATCTCAGTAGACACAGAAAAAGTCCAACACCAATTCATGATTAAAAAAAAAAAAACACAGAAAATTGGAATAAGGTGTTTTATCTCAATCTGAAAAAAGCCATCTATGAAAAACCAACAGCCAACATCATACTAAATGCTCAAAAACTAAAACTTTTACTCTAAAATCAGAAACAAGACAAGGATGTCCAGCGTCACCACTCCTATTCAATACAGTTCTGGAAATATTAGCCAGAGCATTTAGACAATAGAAAGAAATAAAAGAAATAAGGATAGGAAAGGAAGAAGTTAAATTATCATTATTTGCATGATATACAGATACTGTTTCCTAACTGAACATCAAGGCCAAGATTCCATAAAAACCCGTACGCCTACCAGTTTCTATAATCCTCACACTGTTAGGCTGCATAAATCACCCTGTCCTCGGTATCAAAAGTCTGTCTTATTGAAAGCAATTTTTCCTTCAGTGAGACAGTAATTATAACATCAGTCTGCTGGAGAAGAATATTCATATATTCTCAGGCTTGGAGGAGGGAGCAATAAAGAAACTAACCAAAAAGGAAAAATACCTGCCTGGCTTGAGTTTCTGTTGTTGTTGTTGCTTTGTTTTGTTTTGAAAACACTTCCTTAGCATAGCATAAGGAGGGAATGCCAGGAAATACCAGGATGCCCACCAGTGGGCACATATCTGTTCTAGTCTCATTTGGGGATAGTGAATGTCCAGAGTAGGAAGTTGTCCACATGCTGCCCTTTTGCCCTCAGCAAATTTGTCAATTTTATAGGAATGACAAACATTAATTAGTTAGTATACAACAGTGCTTGGAAACCAAAGAATTTTGATTTAAGAAGAAATTGTAAAAAAAAAAAAAATATACAAAAATTGAAAAAAGCAGATTGAAAACCATAATGTATGATTTTCAAAGTGTGGTCCCCAGATCAGCAGCATCAGCATCACTTGTGAACGGATGTGAGCCACCCCGGAAGTCCTGACCCAGAGACATCTGAAAACTGGGCAGGTATCAATTAGCAGGTGTAACAAGTAGAAAACATACACTCTTAAACTGTTTGGAAAATTCACAAATAATGACCATTTACTTGGCAACAAAGAAACTGTTGAAGAAAACTCTATTTGGGTTAGAATTTGCTAGGGCCGAGTTTTAATTTTACTTCCATGGCTATGACGGAGAAAAAGTAGAATGGGTCCGAAGAGTCTATGCAACTCATCAACACAATCCATAGATGTTAAGGAACAAAGTTTCCACTCCTGTAACTTCAGTATATGAATTAAATCAAGAATACCTTAGATATGGAAATGAGTACTGCCCTCAACAGATAAAGAGGATGTGCTCGACAATGAAAGAAATCCCAAGGACTCCGCACCGAACAGCTTGGAAAGAGTCAGCTCTAACTCAAACTCCTAACTGCTGGAATCTTCCCCAAACTCTTGTTTTTTAACTAAAGAGGATAGATAATAACTACTTTGGTATAGTAAGAACACAAAGTATTTCAGAATGATAAAATCATTTCCTACAAAAGTTTTATTTTCTTGCCAGTACCTTCTTTTATTTTAAACCAAGCTTGCTTTCTTTGATTTATAATTTTTTTTCTGAAATCAACACAAATTCAGAAAATTTATATCACCCAGGTCATATTAACTGACTCAAATGCAATGACAGCAAACAATCTTTTTAAAAAAATCCTTGCATTGGAAGATAACACTCCAGAAGAAATCATAAACATGTTAAATAAAATTTTTTATAAACTAGTGACACCTAAAAAGTTACTTAGCAGAACAACATACAAACAAAACAAATTATGGCATATTCATAGCTTAAAATGAGTAAAATGTGCATGCATAAATTTTAAAGCTAGTAATGAGTAATAGAGGCAAATGGGCAGAATGATTTATATAAATTCAGGAAACACGGAACAGTATTATGTTTTGATGGATATGTACATAGGTATATAATTGTATAACAACATGAAATGAAATGTAAAAATCTCAACTTCCATGCAACAGGATCAAGTATACAAGATGTTTTAACTGCACCTAATGTTTGATTTCTTTTGTTTAAAAACTCTAGTAAATATAACAAAATACCAAGTTTGAAAAAGGGGATATAGATTTTTTATTTTCTGTATGTTTGAAATATTCATGACTTTAAACAAATTAAGAACATGAAGACAACAAAATCCCTGCATATTAAAATCTGAGACACCAAGAAGCCCAGAGGAAATGTACAGCCTCAAAACAAAATTATTAGAAAACAGGAATTAAAAATAAATTTTACAAACTGACAAAGAATAAAGGAAAAAATTAAAACCATAATATAAAAAATTTAGTAACAAAACACATCTCAAGAACTTCTGATGTTGCCTGATATTAACACTACACACACACACACACACACACACACACACACCTCAGACCAGTGGCTCTCACATTTCTGGTCTCAGAACACCTTCAGATATTTTTTTAAAAACTTTTGATTTTTAAATTTCTATTCAGCGTATAGCTGAAGGGTAGGATAGAAGACATAAAAGATGGGTAAAAGGAAATTATACCTAAAAATTGTCCTATTAAGACTACAACTTCCAGGCCCAGCTGAAATTATCCAAGGTGATCCGTATCAGCATTGCTTTGGGTTAAATTTAGGCTCCTACCAAACCCATCACACCCCAAACTCCTCAGTAATACTGAAAATGCATCAATTGTCCTAATCGAGAAAGTAAGGAGCAAGAGTTTGATCCTAAGATAAAGATAAACGAACAGATTGAGCAAACCCAAAATATTAATTGCCCATACCCTCCCCCAAAGAATAATGCCAGTTCCTTTCTAATGCGCCAGCACCTTTCCGGGATGCAGCCACCTTTTCCAAGGCTTTGCACCCCTTCAAGATAAGTATAAATGTTCCCAGGTCCAAAGTAAAATGCGTCTCATTTCTGAGTGCCTGCACATGACTCAAGTGTATCCTAAATCTCTAATAAATCCTTCCCGTGCCTCCTACTGATGTGTCCAGAACTTTTTCCCCAGTAGGATTCAACAAACCTGCTACAAAAAAGTGGGTTCTTTATTTCACCTTGGGGAAACCTCTCAGACCCAGCTGGTGACACTTTCTCTGGATGAGCCAGCAACAGGAGGTAAAAGAGATATCCACAGGGTGACTTCGGGAGTTCATCCAAAGGCTTTTCAGTTTTTTGGTTTTTTTCTTACCTACTTCTCTCAACACCTTGACCTCTAA